TATGTACGTAGTTTTTTGTTTCGGAAGTGATTTCTAGGAATTTTACGTTTACGGATTCGGCGATACGGGATAAGAGACTGAAATGGGTTTGTACACTGGTTTCAGTTAGATCAAAGAGAGATGGCCAAGATATGCCACTTCTTTTCTAAGAAATTCACATTTAACAGGCTGTATTTTCAAATTTGCTTCTCGAAGACGTTTGAAGACTTCGGTTAATCTTGAGATGTGCTCATGGGTAGTTGGTGAATATATGATAATGTGATCCATGACTCGCTGAAACGTTGAGGGTGCATTTTTGAGACCAAATGGCATACATACGGACAAACTCGTAATGACCATTTTACTGTAATAGTTATTTATGATATAAGTGCTAAAAGTGACATTTTATTTTGTGAAAAGGGAAGTTTGGGACACGACGCCGAAGGCGAAGTGTTCCATCCCTTTGAACAAAATTGAATCACTTTTAGCACGAATATCATACACTATTTTTTCTACAAACACTGTTTAAAAGTCCAAATTAACGCATCCTTGAAATCCTCAATTTCAAATCTTTCATCTAATTTATTTATGAAATAGGTTGCTGGCAAGAAAAAAAAACGAATTTGTTTATTTTTATTTGTCATCTCTGTTTGTCATTGTTGATTAGTAACGTCAAATAATCACGAATTTTTGCTTAAGGTTTTTGCACAATTTTTGGTTTTTGCGTGGTTTCATCCAGTTTCATTGTAGTTTATTTTCTGGGCGATGGAAAGTGATCAAGACAATGAATTTCTCCCGGCGGAAATTGAAGAAGCTGCCAATAAAACTACTTTCGAATTATTGCCTAGCAAGTCAAAGCAACAGTACGAGTTTTCATACAAAAGAACATTGCGGATCAAATTCTGCCCAAAACTTCGGAGAATAACATTGCTCTTTGCCCTCCTGGTACAAGTTTTACCAAAATAAATTCAGTATTTGCTACCAACGAGATTGGCCATGGAGTTTCTTATTCTAATTGCAGTTTCGCTAATTATACGTTTAATTAAATAAATATTTTATTTTGATTTAAAATTTCCTATGTTTTTATATTTTCTGATCAGTGCTAAAAGTGATTACTTTTAGCACTAGTGCTAAAAGTAATCACTTTTAACACCAGTGTCATAAAATGGCATTTTAGACACTGACCGCATCCGTTAAAAATGACACTTTTAGTGACGTTTGTAGAAAAAAGCAGTTTTGGGAATTCTGCAGGGTCTATTTCGATTTGATGGAATCCTGAAGCTAAGCCAAATGTAGTGATGTACTGACACTTTCCTGGTTAGTCTAGAAGGTCAGATATTTGCCTCCTACACTGAGCTTGTTGAGCTTACGATAATCGATGACAACACTCTACTTTTGTTTTCCTGAAGCATCTAGCTTCTTGGGAAACACCCAAACGGGGGAAGATAATGAAGAGATTGATGTATGAATAATGCCTTGATTCTGCATTTTGCTGATATCCTGTTTTACCTCCTCTCTGTGCGATACCGATAAGATTTAGTGAAGACGGGTTGGGAAAAACTATTATCAATACTGTGTTTAATCTCACTGGTAAAAGTAAGACTGTCTCCCTCAAGGTAAAATATATCGGAAAAGTTGAGACAGTCTGTGATAAGTTGTTCTTCATCGTTTATTCAAATTGTCAAGTCGAAGATCATTTTTTATGACCGATTTTCTATCAATGACGATATTTTCGAGGAAAACCAACTTTGAATTTAATCAGAGATTAAATTTTTAACCGGAATTTTTGATCATGGATTAAATTCAAAGTTGATGTCAAATCATAGTTTATAAAAATCTAAGATAAGAATGTAAGAACTGTTTTCTTCAAAAACTAACCGTCAAGGTTTTACAGCATGTCAAAGTAGCAAAAAAGTAAGTTTTCAACTGTCAATATTTCCAAAACAGTTGAACTTAGAGATTAAAATTTAGTACCAAAATGTATGGAATTAAAAACCCTCCAAAATGATGTATCACTTGACCCCCTTTCCCATTTAAGATTTTTTAAGGGGTGGTTCTGGTAGCTGGGGAGTTGGAAGGGGGGAGGTGAACTTTGCATAAAAACTCATCCCCCCTCAAATTATAGTTGATGTGTTTCAGGAATTTTTTCGATAATTTTTCAGCTCTGAGATAATAGGGGTGGAAAGTTTTAAAATGAACACTCTGTATATAATACGTCTTATAACGATTTTCAGCCTTAGTAAATTTGTTGCATTACCTAAGTTATCTCGACAACTTTAACAAGACATCCTAGGTAGATGTTCTAAGTTTCACTTGACTGACAGCGGTATATTTATGTACTTAACTATTTGTAATCAACTATCCAAGAACTAGCTTCAATAAATTCAGAGAATTTTTTCGGCGCTGGCTCTCCATCTATTAGCTGCCAGATCTTATTATGGTGAGATTTTTTTGGAAATTTTTAACAAGCATTACAGTATTATGCCCGTATTACACCTGTGTATTTTTCCATGTATTTATTCATGTAGTTCAGGGTGACATTATTTTGTTTTTCATAATGCTGATTTATGTTGCGTTTGAAGTTTTTCGGTTGTCACCCTGAACTACATGAATAAATACACGGAAAAATACACAGATGTAATACGGGCATAACATTACAGAAAACAATGAAGAAATGTAAATTGCTAGTCTCGACAATAATGATAATAATTTTATTTGTCACTCATTTGTAAAACGTCACTTATCAAGTCAAAACATAAACGACGAAAATTGATTTTTACAAGCTACTGGTCTACTGACTTGTAAAATTGACAGCTAAACTGTAAAAACTTTTTACCTACGAGCGTGCGGTAAAGTGCACTTTACCGCACGTATTTGCAAATGGAAAGTAGCACTTTACCGCACACTATGCGGTAAAGTTAACTTTACAGCATAGTGTGCGGTAAAGTTAACTTTACAGCATAGTATGCGGTAAAGTGGACTACAAAGTGTGCGGTAAAGTGCACTTTGCGGTAAAGTAGAATTTGATATTTATAATCAAAAATCCTTTTTTTTCCAGAAAATGGATTTTTGATCTTTTCTAAATCTAATCTAATTTCATTGACTAATCTGATTCAATAATTAATTTTATCAATGCCCTTTTTTGGAGATGTAGATGCTCATAGGTAAAATTTTGTACCTAACACATACGGAAAGTGCCTTTACCGCCCTTAACGGGCCTTAACTGCCGTTGCGTGTGGTAAAGTATCACTTTCCGCATTTGTTAGGTAAATAACTATTATTTGTCACTCATTTGTAAAACGTCATTTATCAAGTCAGAACATAAACAACGAAAATTGATTTTTACCAGTTACTGGCTCTACTGACTTGTAAAATTGACAGCTAAACTGTAATAGTTATTTACCTAACAAATGCGGAAAGTGATACTTTACCGCACGCAATGGCAGTTGACCGAACGACGCGGAGCGGAGTTCGGTCAAGCCGTTAAGGGCGGTAAAGGCACTTTACGCATGTGTTAGGTAAAGTTTTTTTTTTTTTTTTTAAAGATAATTCCCCAAGTCAAAAATTTAGTAACTATGTTGGCAACACAAGCCTTTTCTACATAGATAATTTGAAGCATTGACAATTTTACATTGTATTGCCAACATAAAGTCATTTTGACTTTTATCTTTAAAAAAAAAACAGGCTTTACAAAATTTTACCTATGAGCATCTACAACTCCAAAAAAAGGCATTGATAAAATTAACTAATGAATTAGATTAATTAATGAAATTAGATAAAATTTAGTAATGATCAAAAATCCATTTTCTGAAAAAGAGAGGATTTTTGATTATAAATATCAATTTCTTCTTTACCGCACACTATGCTGTAAAGTGCCCTTTACCGCACACTTTGTATTCTACTTTACCGCATAGTGTGCGGTAAAGTGATTCTTTCCATTTGCAAATACGTGCAGTAAAGTGCACTTTACCGCACGCTCGTAGGTAAAAACTCTTAAGTCAGTAGGGTCAGAGAATTATTTATTAAAATTGTATTACCTATATGTATTAATTTTTTATTTATTGTTTAAGATTGTTTACAAATGAGTAACAAAGAAATTATTGTACATCATACGCCAGGTATCAGTTTTTACTGGCTCTTGAAGGTGACAAGCTCGCCTGACGGCTCGCTAGTCATTTCCTTCAATCACCAGTAAAAACTGTTTTACCTGGCTAATAATGTAATAGTAGATTATACCATGAGTCAATAATGATAGCTATTATTCCCGAGGATTATTACGAACTGAGCCGCGTTAGCGGCGAGGGAGTAACATTCCGAGGGAATAATAGCCATTATTGCGAGTAGTATACTCTACTTTATTTACGACAAATTAATTTATTCGAGATTTTCAATGAACAAATTTCATCCGTCTCATAATTTTCAATACAAATCCACAAGCACTACACGTTTGACACTGACACTTTTGTGGAATAATGACCATTAATCCCGCTACTCGTCATTAATCCCTGGAGGAATAACATATGTCATTATACTGCCAAAATCACAAATATAATGCGCACATTATACATTAGTCGTAAATAAAATACTATTACCAGTCAGTAGGGTCAGTAGATTTATTTATTAAAATTGTATTACCTATGTATTAATTTTTTATTTATTATTTACAAATGAGTAACAAATAAATTATTGTACATCATACGCCAGGTATCAGTTTTTACTGGCTCTTGAAGGTTTCCTTCAATCACCAGTAAAAACTGTTTTACCTGGCTAATAATGTAAAATACTAGTAATTGTATACATAACAAAATTGAGACTTTAACAAGTTTTCAGGATATTTCCTGATAACAACAGTTTCCGTACTGAAATCGAGTGTTTTAAACTTGATCCAATGGGTCAAAACAAAGGTTCATAAATGATCATTTTTATTCAATCTACATTTGTTCGACTTGAATCGCTTTGTGAGGAAGCTCCTCTCAACATACTAAAGTGCTCCATCAAATAACCTCATCTTTTTGTTACAGGTTCAAACAAGAAAATGGCTAAAAGAATGGCTGCATTCACGGCCTGCCACGAGTTACTGAATGTTACTTATCCATCTGAAGTTTGGATGCCTTTGTATAATTAAATTCCCAACAAGCTTGATTAGTAGTTTAGATTTTATTGTGTACCTTCACATTAGAATTAGTTCTTTAGTTTTAGTAAGTTGCTTTCTGGCAATTATAACTTTTTAGATTAGCTTTTTACTATAACAAGTATTTTGTCTAGTTTTATTGACTTTATTTAAGACGTGCAGTTTCAATGCGATCAAATCGATCTGATGGATACAGATCCACTTGGAAATTGCATTAAAAACACTGGCGAATACCATCAGAAATGGATCGGTAGTCGTTGATTTTAATTTTGGATTACAATGATGTAATTTTTTTTATTGACTTTATTTGGTGTATCTATATTCTGAAAACTAGGTGGTAATGTGTAATTTGTGATTAGGTAGAGAGTTTTTAATAGTCACTTTATATGTTTTGTGTCTACTTGTCTAGCAAATCAAAATAAACCAACACAGTATAAAAATATTGTTTTATTCATATATTTAAAAAAATAGTTCTATAATTGTAGTTCTCCCTGATACACCTTCTCTACTACATCGTTAACTTCTATTTCTCTTGCTATAGTTAGAAGACTGTCGTTCAGCAACTCTTCTGCAATCCTGAAAATAATTTTTTTTTTTTTTACATATGAATACTACAACTACAAGCATGTGATTTTGATGTCAAGAAAATAAATCTATCAACAAAAGAAAAGAAGGTTCAATTAGTCTCCAGCAGGACATAGGTTTTTCCACCAACAATAGTGAAGTTTGTCTTGTTCAGATTATATCGGGTCTTCAAAAAAATAACCAATCGAAGATTGTTTTGATTACGAAAACGGACGTCGGAATACTGTTTCTTTATTGTTTCAGGATTTTTGGCATGACATTTTGACATTAACGTTCATTAACAAAATTAAAGGAAAATATTGCTAAGACATACGTTTTAAAAACCATAGCAATCTTTGATTGTTTTTTTTGTTGAAGACCCGATGTAATAATAATAATAATAATGGTGGATTTTCTTTACCACCATAGCAATAAACGACCAACTGTGTGATATTGAGAGAATAATAATAATAATAAAAAAAATTTATTTTCAACAGGCCAGAAACCCAATTACAAGAAAATCGAATATTAATTGCAAGACAATAAAAATGGAAAAATTAACTACACTTTATTTTTTCCCAAGATAGATTTTGACATTGAAAACTTTGAAACATAAACAATAACACTTGACCCTGATTGGTCGCAAAATGAGGTATTTCTGCAGGTTGACATCAGTTTTACAATAGCGACCAATAAGCGGCATTGTTTATGTTTCAAGTTGACAATACCAAAAGCTATCTTGGGGAAAAATAAACAGAGTAAATTAGGAAGAAAAGAAAAAAAGGTGTAAAAAAAGTTGCCTCTGCAAGTAGGAGCAGGAGTTAGAGTTAGGTATGTGCTCTCACCAACTCCTTAAAGGGGGTGTGCCCCAAAAATGAAAGTTTTAGTGCAAAAAAATCTAAGAATAAATATTTAAACCGCATCTTGCTACGCTACGATGGCCCGTTTTCGAGTTAGGGCAGTTTGAAGTTACAACTAGGTGGTCGTGACGTCACACTGGATTCTCAGGAAAAGTATTAATACATGTAAGAATTTTTCAAAACAAAAGATAAGCGAATAGACCTATCTATTTTACCAGAAAAAGAGGTAATAATACGAAAACTTCATTAGATAAAAAAAGACACAGAACGCTCATTGCGCAAGACGAGGCAAAACGTACCAAAATATGTTAGACTTACGTATAGCAATCCGTTGTTCTTATTTGCACGGGATAAAAAGGAAGGAGGAAGACCGCTTGTTGTGCAACGTATTTGTCTAAGTAGGTATTTGTCAATGAAAATTTCAAACAACTATGAATGTCACTTGTCAAGCTATGTAAAGTTGAATATCAATCGTACTTTTATTCTTGTCAAACCACGGGCAATGAACAAGGACAAGGAGATGTCTAGCGTGCAAAACGAATACTTCACACCTGTACTAGTTAGCCAATAAAAAGGCATTGCCTCGTGTTGCGCGCGCATACCAGGTAAAACAAGATATAGGTCTATTGCAACCACTGAAAATATAGGGTACGTTCATTGACGACTGAACGAACAGAAAATTGCGATTTCAGCGGTTGTGACATTACAAGTTCCTGAATAATTTATCTTCAGAAGGAATTTTCTCGGAGACCATTTTGAAAAGAGGACTGCAGTTTTCATGAGAGATCTTGGAATTTTTTTCTTTATTTAAATAGCTAAAGTCATTTTTTAAGGTCACACCCCCTTTAACAAATAAACTAATAGTGCTGTTATATCGAAGATATATCACAGATTCACAGATTGCGTTAAAAGTATAACACATCATGTATATTGATGGTGACCAGAATAACACATTCGTCCGGGGAGTATCGAGAAAGAAGGTTAGTGAGCGTCTGGCAAATGAGGTACCAGAATGCTACTATTAGACAAAAGGAAAGGACAATCAATTATATTGTGGAACAAATTAAACAAAAATTTAATTAATAATATCTTTCGTCTAATAAGTAAAGATAACTCGTCAAAACGAGTGAGTAAAACTCTGTTGTCACAACCTCTCTCCGGATACACTTGAAAACAAGATATTCATTGAACTGACTCAACTGAGCCGAGCTCCCATAACATGCATAGATAGGGTTCCAAAAAGTAATACAATAATTTAATAGTCGATTCGTTACTAAAGTCGCAAGAGTTTCTGATTATAAACCCAAGAATGCGATTGGCCGACTGTGTGAGGTTATCTAATTGAGGAATGAAAAAGAATTTAGCATCAAATATAATTCCAAGATCCGCTCTCTGATCAAGTAAGTCCAAAGCAGTTCCATCAATAGTGTGAGCATACCTACATTAACTGGTGCCCTCAACCGAGAAAAACTGACAATATTGCACTTTGACAAGTTTGGACCTAAATTATTATTAACACACCAACCACTCAAAGTAAAGTTCGCCTTACGAGTCTAGCACTATGGAAAGAATGCGGATAAGAAAATTGCAATATTGTCTATTCGACTTCCAATAGAAAATACCTTAATATTTATCTATGTTACACACCTACATTTATAAGGAAAAAGTAATATTTAAAAACGCTGTGCGCACGCCTATGACAGGCAGCATAAAGCTCGAAATGAATGGCGTTATTCCCCCTTGCTCTTCAGACGTCGAGACACGTAAGGCGAACTATATTCAAATTGTCCTGAAGAAAAACACTGTCATCAGTAGGTATTGCTTATGCTTATATTATGATAAAGCTTCAAGTCATAGGCATAAGCCAGCTTATTACATGTGATCGCACTCAGAAGAATGTTTATAAACGTATTGAACAGAAGCGGGCCCAAATAAGAGCCCTGTGAGACTCCAGACGTTGCAACATAAGCCTGTGATTTGAAACCCTCAACTGAGTACGACCCAACAAGTATGACCTAAACACTTTGGTGAGACGTTCAGAAAGCCCATATCCCTGCAACTTGTTCAGCAATACACTATAATCTATACGGTCGAAGACTTCTGAAAGTATACATATGTAACGTCCACCTGACCTAGAGAATCGAGTGTTTTACAAACGTTTTCTGATAAGCATGACATACTCATGCATGACCTGGCATTGACAAATCCATGCTGATCGATCGAAATTACATTCCTGACAAGATTAAGTAAAGTTATATAAAATGATTTCAAATATCTCTAGAGAAGTTGCAGAATGAAGAAATCGGCCGGTAATTTGTGACAAGACTAGCATCACCCTTCTTTAGAATAGGAGTGACATGAGCAGTTTTCCAGATCTCTGGGAATTGGGAATTGATTCATAGACAAAATTAGGTTGTAAATATAAGTTGAAGCGTTGATTATTAAAGAATCCTTAACCACAAAACTCGATATGCCGTCAACACCAGATGTCAACTTGTCCTTAACCCTTCATCAGTGTGGCGGGGTACCTAATGTCAAATATTTATTTAGATTGGAAATATGTAAAATTGCAATTGTTGTATGTTCCTGAAAGATTTAACGGCAAATGTTGACTGAAATCCTGTTCCAAAGCAACGTCACTGGAAATGTTGACTTGTTTTATGTAGCTGGAGACAATGTCTTTGATTTTTCTGAGAAAAATACCAATAATGCATCTTCCCTTATTGTGGACACATCTTTCGTTGTACACCATTTGATAAAATTTTCATAGGCTTGATTAAAACGGTTTTTGGATTTGTCCGGTAACAAACTTTTGCACGCGATAATTGCTGCCTCTTCAATGGAATTCATTTTCAACTAAATTTTAGCCAAATATTGAACTTAAAGAAACGTACTCCATCAACTTTCATTTATTTATATTAAAAATAATACTTATTTAAAAATAACTGTCAAAATATATTTTTTGTTAACGCGAATGTTACCAAAGTCACGTTAACGTTAACAACTGCCATCAAAACTGTGGTCATTCCACTTTTTTTTAGGGGCGGCTGGAAAAAACTAAATAGGTATTAGTTATACATATTTTTTGGTTTTATTTTTTTATTTTTTGATAAAGTGGCACTTCATCTAATGCACCTGAATAGCCGCCAGCCGCCACTGCGATATTATTATGGCAATAAACCGCGTTAGGCCTAGAGGATTTTCGGCATCTGTAAATTGTGTGTTTTATAACTTTAATGGTTTTATATAAAATCGGGGGAAGAATGAAAAGTTTAATACATTACACGCTGCAAAAGCCCTTTTAGGTGCTCGGAGATATTCAAATAGCCTCGGCTGCGCTTCGCTTCGCTTCGGCTATTTAAATACACCTCGCACCTAAAAGTATACTTTCGCAGCTTGGAATGTAAATAACTATAGTAGTTGAACATGCTAGCGCATGTTTCACTTTCGCTTTCGCTCACCTATGCAAGACAAAAAAATCTATTTTTGTAGGGGAGAGAATGAAAAAATTCTTCCTAGAGCAGCAATAGTTATTTACATTCCAAGCTGCGAAAGCGTACTTTTAGGTGCGAGGTGTGCGCTTCGCTACGCCTGGGCTATTTGAATACCTCTGAACACCTAAAAGGGCAAAAATCGTGAATAGGCATGCGAAAGTGAAACATGCTAGTAGCGAAAGTGAAAGTAACTACTAGCATGTTTCACTTTCGCTTTCGCTCGCCTATGCGAGACAAAAAATCTACTTTCGTAGGGGGGAGAATGAAAAAATAATTTGGATAATAGAAGAAAGAGTTTCTGTGCCGATGGAAGGCAACAGGGGGATTAATTTACTTTAAATAAATACCCAAATCAGTTTATATGATTACGTATATGCAAATTTATTTGTAAAAAATTATAAGTTATCTGGGCGCCCCATAAGCCCGGGCCCCTGTAATTTGTACCGCCTGTAATGCCCTCTCGTCGGGCCTGACCACGATACCACTTGTAAAAAAATGCTTAGGGAGAACTCTTTTTTA